CACTCACTTCTAAAATGTTCAATTTATAGAACTCTATGCCTCAAGGGTAGAGGTGCCTTAAAGAGTTTGGGCAATTTTAAGGAGGTTTCCTCCTTTTGATATTTTATCTTCATATATATATAGTTTATATATACACACAGACATCGGTATATATATATATATATTCCAACATAATTGTTCTTTATGGCTTTCTTTCTGGTTTTTGCTTTTTAAAACTCAGTAATCTGAGTTCAAGGATTAACTTGACTCTCAGCACTTCGGGACAAGGATCCAGAGACAGACAAAGAATGTTCTTCATTTGAGTGAGCTGCGTGCAGTACAGGGGCAGGAGGGAAAGAGATAGAAAAAACAAACAAGCTATGGGGGTGAGCACAGAAGTCTCCAGCGTATTCAGAAATCAAAATAAGAGTTAAAATTCATGCATTAAAACTTTGTGCATTAAAACATTTTTTTTGCAATTAGAAGTCAAATTAACATATTCAAAGAAGGTACAATACAGGCAGGGGTAGCAGTGCCGTGCAATGTACAGGTAAAGGTTCTTGGTGAGACCTCTCTTCCTTAACTGGTTTTGGGAACTTGTGCACATCACCTAACCTGCCTGGGCCTCCTGGTGGGCTCTGTGAAGGGAGAATGGTTGACTACATATGGTTTCTTCTAACTCTAATATTTGAGGATACTGACATTTTATAGTGAAGTCCCATTTAAATCATTTGAAATTCTTTAGTAGTATTTTAAATCATTTGAAATACAGTAGACCCATCATTGCTTAATAAATTAATTAATTGTCCTTAAGTATGGCTTCGGAAGGTCAGAGCTTAATGCTCGTTAATGTATAAATACAGGCCGGAGGTAGCGTGTAGAATTGTGCTTGCTTCTTCTCCATCCATGAGAGTGCTGTGGGAATTTTAAATGCACCTTTGATGGGTGAAAACTCATACTGTTGACACTCGAACTGCCCACACCCCATCTCCTCAGAGGCTGAACATCATTGGACATTGGCTAGTTAATGGCTATTAGATAAGAGGAATAAGCCCACGAAACAAGGCCCGTCTCGGAGGGAGCCGGGAAGCCCATAGGCCTGTGGTAATACACCCGTTCTGCTGGGAGGAGAAACAGTGAGATATTCAAGGTATGGCGATGCACAGAAACTAGGCTTTTGGTGATGAGCATGCTTTAGTGTTATAGATACTAAATTATAATGGTGTATGTGAGGGCTGGCCAGCAGCCCCTGAACAACGGATGAACAGATTACTCGTTCACAGTGTCACTATGAATGAGAGGGCTAAGGGGTTGCCTGGCTCAAGGGTCCAAGCAGCCTTGATTGCCTGCCTCATTAGCCTTTTATTGTAACAGCAGTTTGAGATAAAATTTATCTTTAAGATGCAATCAGTAGGGGGAGTAATCTTGGGAGGACACATGTGTTTGCAGTGTCCTTAAGCAAGGGCACCCAAAGATTAAGATGAAGGATTCCAGTAAACACCTGGGGGTCTGCACATGCACAGACTTGTTTGGAAAGGTCAAGGAATAATTAGGGGCGCCACCTTCGATACTCCCCTAAGTCTCCCCTAAGTCGGAATTCCGATAAACAGGGCAGTGGCCTTCCACACACTTCCCTTTTCTCGGAATGTCCTCCTTACAACTTTCCAACCAAGGCTCGTGCTCCCCAACAGGTATACACCTGAAACTTACATGTTATGAACCAATGTTAGCACAAATTTTTTAAAAAACAAGAATCATTGGTGGAGCAAGAACCCAAATTAATAACCAGTGAGGAGGAACTCTGTCCTTCTGCCAGAATCACGAAGGACCAGGACAGGAGCCTGATCCTGGGGAATGGAGGGTGTGGGGTGTCTTCCAGTGTGAGTCCTGGACCAGCCAACAACGTGAACCATGAAATAGTGACTAGCAAAGCCATGGTCTTACACATGGGCTCTGCTCCCTGCTGGACCTCTCCGGGGAGGAGGCCCGCAGCCCTGTCCCGGGAGCCTGCCTCTGCCCGGGCTTGTTGGATATTGTCTGGTTTCCTGCACCCCAATTAGGATAATTCTTCTTCATCTAGGAACCAGTTCCATTGGCACTGGCCCATTTACACACACGTCACACCAATGTCCTCTCGCTCCTAGCGGCCTCACAGGCCAGTTTACCAAGTGTCCCTTAGTGAAAAGGCAATGCTCAGTATTCAGAGAAATGTTTCCTATTTCTGTCTCCTCCTCCCTTGACTTTTTGGGGAAGTGTATGTAGGCCTTTCTGTCTGAAAACTCCGAGGAGCATGACTGAGGTCACCGAGTTGTGAATGGAATCGGGATTAAGTTAATACAAAGCCTATGGACCGTATTAATTCAGGCTCCTAGAGTAATGCCCTCCACCCAACCACACATAAGCTATGAATCCTCGGAGCGGCCACAGTAAAGAGAAGGGTTCCCTCCTGGTGGACACTGGCTGGTGCCAGGGCATTGGCTGGGAAAGGCTGGTCTGCCATACTGCTTGCCCCTCCCCTGAGGGGCACTGGAGGGATGAGGGCTGCATGAGGACACTGACCCTTTATCCCATCACTCAGAGTTAGCAACTAGATTTTTGAAAGCGTCCACCTGGGGTGGGAAGGGCTGCTAGGCCTCAGATGCCCTGAAGACAGCCCCAGGTAGGGGAAGGGTAGGCCATTGGAATCTGACTGCCAAGCTGTCTCCCCAAGGGGCTGATTGTCCTGTTTCATCGACATATGAACTGCCTGTCCACGCACAGAAAGAGGGTTTCTCAGAAAGTGATTTTGAGAAAGGACGCGTTCTCAGCTATAGGGAATGTAGAGGGCTGATGATGAAGAGAGCTGCTGTATTTCCCTAAACAGGTCATCCAGGAATTATAAACAATTCTTTTATTAATGCTTAGGAAGCCCATTCACAGCCTGTTTCTATCTGTATGAAGTAGTGTTTTAATCACAAGGGATTGCGTGCAGATGAATGCTTACTCTATCCAGGGTAGTTGGTGTGTGTATGCGTGTATTGTGTGTAATTCCAGCACTCAGCATGTGCTATGCAATGCAACACTCCCCACGCCGCCCCTGCCACGCATTGAGGACCCGTCACATCTGCTTACTAGTTTGCTCACGCCGTCTAGTGACTATTAAGACCTTTCCCACTTTTATGTAAAACCCTGAAAACCTGCCTGTTGCTCCTGTCAGCTCCAGGACGAAGACTGTGTCCGTTTTCTCTTCTCTGGTGCTTGGGCCCATTATTTCTCTACACTTCCTCACGGGTCTTCCTTTCTTCCTCACAGACGGGGGACTTTTTTGGTGAGATCGAAGGAGCTGTGATGAACAAATTGTTAACAATGGGCTCCTTTAAAAGGTAAGATTTTATGGTCCCCTGCGCCCCCCGAGAAAGTTTGCCTAAATAAAATAAAACAAACCAAGGTCAAATAAAGCAAGCCTGGACTTGACCCCGTGGCTGGTTTGCACTTGTGTTCATGCTCCAGAAGATCTCGCTGAAACCCGATGCCTCTTCGCTAGTGTTGAGTCTTAGAAACTCAGCTCACAATGGGTTTCCTGTTCACCCAGCCCAGAGTTTATTGGAGGCCAATATTGAAGTTGGAGCCTGCACTGGGACACAAGTATATCAGGCTCAAGCAAGCGATTGGAAAAAAAAAAAAAGTAGGAAACGTTTTCACCTGGTCAAAAAGGGGTGCATTTTGTCTCCCATTGACAAGCTTCCCAGGGAAGCTTGCTGGAGATCTGGACCTCAGGGATGGAAGGTGATATTTAGAGACTTGATGATATAATTGTAGGAAATCAAGTGAAAGGTCTCAGCACTTGCTCCCAGCTGGAGGTAAGTTTAAATCTGCTGCTAGAAGCAAACCCAGATGGTGCCACATTCCGCTGGCGACATATACTACTCAACTAGGTCCCAGAGAGCTCTCACGGACCCTGAGTGAAGAAGCTTCCTCACAGTCCGTCCTGGGATGGCCAGCCCTGCTCTTGGGGCACCAAAGCCTATGGGAAAAGCCATCACCCCAAGCGATCAGGGTGCCAGGAATGTCCCCCGGAAGTCAAACTGTCTCCCTTCCCTTGGCCTCCCTTGGCCTCCCTTTGGAGGGATGCTTTCATGGGCATATTTGATGCTGTTGAACATATAATTGCAGGAAATACAAGGATGGGCCTCAACGCACCAGTGGCTGCTGGTGGGGGGGGGGGGCAGTCTCCCCGTGGATCACTCTCCTGCAGCTGAATGGCCAGGAAGTGTTAGCTCAGGAAATCAGACTTTTAAGGCAGTCAATAGGACCATCTGAGCACTGTGCTGAAAGCAAGGAATTCAAAAATGATGACCCAGTTTTTGAGATTCCATAGCTTGTTTGTGCCAGAAGGAGGGAAAAAAGAAATGATATAGAAATTGGCCAAAGTCCAGCCCTTCTGACACACTTGCTCCCAGGCCCGCCTGGAGCAGACTGCTCACTCCTGCTCATGCTTTCTTTGGAATTCAAGAACAGGCTTTAAGTTGGGTGCCAGGAGTCGTGGTGCACATGCGTGAAAACTGCTGGGAGCCGGGCTGGGGTTGCTATGGAGTTTCTCTGGATGTCTTAAAGCGTTCCGGGCAGCTCCTGGAGTGTCTGCCGCCCAGGGCACCGCTGGTGTTGCTTATCTTTATGTGGGTGTGTACACTTGTATCGTGTTAGCATGTTTTCAACTTGGGAGTCGGGGGAGACCAAAGAGGAAGAGTGATCACACACCTGTTTCTCATCTGAAAGCAGATTTTTTTCAACTTCTTTAACAAAATCTGTTTTTTTCTTTTCCTTCTTGGATATTTCTTTCACACAGCTTGGGGGAAGAAAGAATGGTTATAGAGTGGAATTCTAAATTCCTAGTCTTCTCCTTAATGTGGGTGAAGTGTGGTTGACATGAATCTAGAACATTCTCTCACTATGAGAGAGTCCCTAATGTATTTGAGAAAAGGGAAGGGCTGGGGACTTTTTTTTCAATGTTAACAGCAACCACTATCATCTGGGAGTTAGCTGACAGACCTCCTGAGCCGATTGGACGGGGCTCTCCCTGGGACCAGGAGAGTTTGGGATTAGGAGTCGATGGAGGGGGTTTGAATCCAGGCTTTGCACTAGCTTTGGTTTCCTTACGGAGAAAATGGAGATGATGATTCTAATTACTTCCATGGGTTGCTGTCCGAGTTAATAAGATAGTGATAAGCGTAAGGTTCTGACATGGTGCTTGGCATATGTCAGGGCTCTGTAATTGCTGGCTGCTGCTGTGGCCTTGGTCACTATGGATCTTGGCTCAGCCTTGGCCCCAGGTGATGCTTCCTCTGCATCCACACGTCTCACAGTAGGCTTCCCCACACCTGGGATGGGGTCTCCAGTGTCGGCGACCTGCAGTCCTTGAAATCAGACATCCCTGCCCTGGCCCTCTCCAGCACGCAGTGCTTAGGCACGGCACAGGTGGACAGCCCTTCATTCAGAGACCTGTGTTTCAGAAGCAACATCTACAGACCAACTTACAGGATGTAGCTGCAAGTAACTGTCAGTGGTCTAGGACAGAGGTCATGTACATGTTAATCTGAGACCCATCCCCACCCCAAACTAGGACACATGGAGTCTGAATTGCTCTGGCGATGTGTCTGGGCCCAGATAAAGCTCAGGAATAGGTCCCTGAGATGACATTTGATCTTAGCATTATGATCAGTGCCCGGATGGCACTAAGTTTTTTCTTTGATCTGCTCATGCCTGGTCCTAAACAAATGAGTTCCATATACAAGAACCCTACAAACCAACTTTTTCAGAAAGAGCGTTCAAAGACACGAGCACCCTTTCCCTTTACCAACCTCCCATCTGTGACCTCCTCTGGCCCCTATGTGCTGCCTCTCCCTGATGCTTGCCCGTGTGGCAGTGCACTCTTCCCTGGAATGTTTGGCCACATACTTGGTGACCTGGTGGCCATTCTACCTAGCAGTGCCATTGGCAGGAAAGGGCACCCACTTCTGCGTCTGCAGGGCCCTGCGGAAAGAAGGGAAGCCACCGACTTGCGTGAGCAAATGACCAACTTGAGGAAGTGTGTGCAAACAATTTGGGAGACACAATGGTCACTCTTGGTCATTTAGCTGAGTCTCATCCGTGACTCTGGCCGCCCCCAGCTGGCATATGACATAGCATCCAGGGGCCAAATAATATACCAGGTGCTTCAGCAGTGTGACAATAATGACCACCATGGTGACCTTCCCTGAGCACCTTCCACGCACCAGGCCTGATAGATTTTACCACTTGCAGTCCTTTCCAACAACCCTGTGACAGGACCGGCTGCACAATCAAAGGGACACAGCGCAAAATGACCACATGGGGCCCTTTGTTCCCAAAGTGTCAAGAATTTCAAGACAATGACAGCAGCATTGAACCACCACGGGGCCCTTCTAAGAGAGGGTTCTATGCAGGCCAGTGTGCCCATTTAGCCATCCCTGGGTATAAATATACCCATTTTATAGATGGAAATAATGAGGTTTGGACAGATTAAGAACTGGCCCTAAGCCTCTGTGTATCAGAGCTGGATTCAAACATTCTGTGGTCTGAGCACGGAGAGAATTTTCTAGCTTCTGTGCTTGTCCTGGTTCTTTGTAAAATTAGCGCCTGTAGCTTCCTTGAGCTCCTTTGGGAAGTGGAGGATGGCCAAGGAGGATGCTGTCTCAGCAGTGTCTTATCTGGGCAAGCAGAGCTCCCAGGATGGGGGGCCCGCTGAATGATACGATCCCCCAGATTTCTTCTAGCTGAAGCTGACAAACCATTGACCTAAGCCGTGTTCCCAGGCTTCACGCATTTTCTCATAAGATACCGTGTGCCTGGTCAGCTTTTTGTGTTTCAAACAGAGAGCTTCAAATACTCCTTCCTCCTTATCACGGAAAGTAAGTGAACTCCCTGAGTGGTGACTCATTTAGGGCTTTTCATTTGAGCTGTTCTGCTTTTTCACACGTGTGCATGTCTAGGGAGTGACTTACGTTTATGTTTCTCAGAATCCACACTCTGTGGTTCCCTTCATGTCGTCGGCAGTGACATCTCCCCTCTGACAATTACTGGGAGAAAACCTAGTTATCTTGTTTCAAAATATTTTTATTGTAATTCATTTATCCCTCCTCGTTTCCTTGCCCCCAGTGATGCAAATTCAGTGTGAGATATGCAGGGAAAAGTGGGGAAATGGACACAGCCAGTCGCAGGAGAGTATCCAAGGCTCCTGACAGGGCCTCGGTGATGCCTGGACTTGAAATAAGACTCGGGTTGAGCACCAGAATCGCCACCATGTGGCCTAGAACAGATTCCTCAGTCTCTTTGAGCCTCTGGTTTTTTGTCACCAAAATATGGACCTGGGGGAGGGTGGTTTTGTCAACCAAAACAAGACGTGAAAATGCCATGCAAATTAGAAAGCTTTGCAAACAGGAGGTAAGATCAGCTCCTGGATAAGAGCTCCCAAAGTCTGAGATCTTTTTTCTCTCTTTATTTTAGTCACTAATGACCCCCCAAAGGTGGTTACTGCACAACAGTTACCTCCACAGCACAGCATTCAGGGTGGGCATATGGCCCTGGCCTCTGCCAAGCTCTTCTAGAAGGTTTTCAAACACACCTATGCCGGGCTGCACCCAGGAAATTCATGATCAGTTCAGGGGATGAAGCCCAGGTGTCGATGTTTTTTAAAAGCACCCACATGACTCCCAGGTGCAGGCGTGGTCAAGAAATACTAAGTTGAAGATCCCTGGTTATTAGTCTAGACCCGTGGTCGGCAAACTGTGGCTCTCGAGCCACATGCGGCTCTTTGGCCCCTTGAGTGTGGCTCTTCCACAAAATACCACGTGCGGGCGCACGTACAGTGCGATTGAAACTTTGTGGCCCATGCACAGAAGTCAGTTTTTGGCCTGGGCAAGTCTATTTTGAAGAAGTACTGTTGATATTTGGTTCTGTTGACTAATGAGTTTGCCCACCACTGGCTAGACCAGTGGTTCTCAACCTTGGCTGCACATTAGAATCACCTGGGAATCTTTTTAAAATCCTGATTTCTGGGCCTCATCCTCCGGAAATTCTGTTTCTTTGTTATGGGGTGGGGCCACAACATTAGTAACAAAGAAACAGAATTTCCGGAGGATGAGGCCCAGAAATCAGGATTTTAAAAAGATTCCCAGGTGATTCTAATGTGCAGCCAAGATTGAGAACCACTG